GGAGTGCACCTCGTTCGGAGGAGGGCAAAAGGGAGAAGCTCTACCCAACCTAGTTCAGTCTCAAAGCATAATTTAGTCAGAATCTCCTTTAAAGTTTGATTTGTTCTTTCTACCTGTCCTGAACTTTGAGGCCTATAGGCACAGTGTAGATTCCACTTTATTCCAAGGATATTATTAATTAATTTAGATATCTTAGCCATAAAGGCTGGACCATTGTCGGACCCCAGAGCTAAGGGCAATCCAAAATGGGGAACTATTTTTGTCAGGAGCTTTTTAACTGTTACTTCAGCTGTCTCCCTCTTAGTGAGGTATGCTTCTACCCATCCTGAAAATGTATCCACAAAAACTAGCAGGTGTTTGTACCATACATGCCAGGCTTCATTTCAGTAAAGTCCAATTCCCAAAGTTCTCCTGGAGTTAATCCTCTGTGTTGGATCCCGGGGGGCCCGGTTACCCGATTTGTATTTACCTTGAGGCAGGTGGGGCATCATGTCACCATGTCCTGGGCCTTTTGGGCTAATAATCCCTCCCTGATGAAATGGGGTCGCAGGGAAGCCATCATTCTTTTCTCACTTAGGTGGGTGGACTCATGTAGTTCGCGCAACAATGTGTCTGCTACAGTGGTGGGGAGCACCAACTTTCCATCCTTAGTCGTCCACCATCCATGTTTTCCTTGAGTCCAGTGCTTCCCGTTCATTTTTGCCACCTCTTTATCTGTGTATTCAGGTTTTTCTGGGAGTACTGGTGTAGGTAGCAAAACCATTTGCTTCCCCACTGATTTCTGGGCAGCTTGCTTTGCTGCTCGATCAGCAGCATTATTACCAGTTATCTCGGGGCTAGATCTCTTTTGGTGCCCACAGCAATGGATGATGGCAACCTCTCGGGGCATCCAGATGGCTTGTAGCACTGCCAATATCTCAGTCTTGTTTTTAATTTCCTTTCCTTCGGAAGTCAACAGCCCTCTATTTTGATAAATCTCCCCATGTACATGGGCGGTGGCAAAAGCATAATGGCTATCAGTGAATATATTTATCCTTTTTTCTTTTCCCAATTCCAGAGCCTTAGTCAAAGCAATCAGCTCAGCCCTCTGTGCTGATGTCCCTTGAGGTAGCCCCTGCTCCCTTTCCACCTGTTGTTCCTGGTTGACCACCTCCGTTCCAGCATACCATACAACATCATGAAAGAAACTGCACCCATCAGTATAGAATGTTATCTCTGCATGAGGGAGGGCCTGGTCCGTCAAGTCCGGATGTCCTCCCCTCAAGTTTTCAAGAGTCTTGAGGCAATCATGGATGGGTATTTGTGCATCAGATTCTGGGAGTAGAGTAGCCAGATTGAGGCTAGCAGTAGTGGCAAACTTAATGCATGGCTGTTCTAATAGGAGTCCTTGATATTGTAACAGTCTGGCATTAGACAGACATTTGCTAGGTGAGCTATTCAACAAGGGCTCAATGGCATGGGGAGTGATCAAAGTCAAATCCTGATCAAAGGTCAATTTGTCAGCCTCTCGGGTTAAAGCAGCTGCTGCTGCTACTGTCCTCAGAGAAGTAGGCCACCCTCAGGCCACTGGGTCAAGCTTCTTTGAGAGGTACACCACAGGCCACTTCCATGGCCCCAAAAGTTGAGTAATCACTCCCTTAGCTACCCCATTTTTTTCTGTCACATACAGGGTAAAGGACTTGTTTAAGTCTGGCAATGCCAGGGCTGGTGCCGATGCAAGTGCAGTCTTAAGCAATTGAAATGCCTGCTGGCAAGATTCAGTCCATTCCAGGGGTGTATTTCCTCCTGCAGTGGCCTTGTGCAGGGGTTTGGCAATCTCAGCAAAGCCAGGAATCCAAATCCTGCAATAGCCAACTGCCCCTAGGAACTCTTACACCTGTTTCTTTGAGCCTGGCTTCAGAATCTGGAGAATAGCAGATACTTTCGATTCTGCCAGCCTCCTCTTTCCCTTTTCAAGAATATAGCCCAAGTAGGTTACCTTGGTCGGGCAGAGCTGAGTTTTCTTCCAAGACACCCAATATCCCAGTTCCTGGAGGGCTTTCAGGAGGCCCTCGGTGGCTGCAATGCATTCTTTATTGGCTGAAGTTGCCACAAGGAGGTCATTGACATACTGAAGAATAGTCGCCTGGGGAAACACTTTTCTTACCTCGTGTAAATCCTTACTGAGAGCTTCCCCAAAATAGTGGGGGAGTTTTTGAATCCCTGTGGCAACTGGGTCCATGTCACTTGTCTGGTAGTCCCGGTGTCTGGGTCAGTCTATTCGAAGGCAAAGAGGGGCTGGCTCACTGGTGCTAGAGGCAGCCTGAAAAATGTATCTTTGAGGTCTAATACCGAGTACCACACATGAGCAGGAGGGATGAGACTCAACAGAGTATAGGGGTTTGTTACCATTGTGTGGAGAGTCTCCACCCAGCTGTTTACCTCCCGCAAATCTTTTACCTGTCTGAAGTCTGAGGTGCCAGGCTTCCTTATAGGAGCCAGGGGTGTATTCCAGGTGGATTGGCAAGGGACCAAGATGCCGGCTTCCTGGAGTTGGTGGATGTGTTTGGAGATCCCCACCTTGGCCTCATCAACCTTCTTTATCTACTAGATGAACCCTGTCTCTTTCTTAGTCTCTTTCTCTCTCTTTCTTTTCAACTTCTCACAATCCCTTTTATAATGGCCCTTCTCTTTGCAATATGTGCATTGATCCTTCTCTAACAAGGGCAGTAATTTACTTTTATCCTCTTTTTTATTTTCTCCGTGTTCCTTTTGGATGAAACCTCCATCTGCTAAGGCTGCAATATTTGCTTTTTCTATCTTTTTAGCCATTCTGTCATCAAAAGGATCCCTGTTATTAAACACCTTCATTGTCACACTCATCAATCTTTCCCTATTTTCTCCCTCAAATCCCTCCATCTGCTGCAATTTCTTCCTAATATCTGGGGCTGACTGAGTGACAAAAGCCAAATTAATTGCCTGTCAGTTTGCAGGGGCATCTAGGTCAATTGGAGTATACATACGGTATGCTTCCAACAGACGCTCCAGAAAGGCAGAAGAGGATTCCTCAGGTCCTTGGAGGACCTCGCTTACCTTGCTCAAATTGGTAGGCTTTCAAGCGGGTCCCCTCAAGCCAGCTAGGAGATGCTGATGGTAGTTTTGGAGAGCTTCTCTCCCACCCAAGGAATTAACTTGCCACCTGGGGTGGGTGGATGGAAGTTGTGCCTCAACATGGGCCCACTGTTGCTCATCGAGTGGGCCCTCTGTTCCTCCCAACACTGATTTTATGGCTTGCCCTTGGATCCTTTCTCTTTCCTTGGAGGTGAAAAGGGCTTGAAGGAGTTGTTGACAACCATCCCAGGTAGGGTCATGGGTATGAAAAACAGATTCTAGGAGGGAGATCAAAGCCTGGGGCTTTTCTAAAAAAGGGAGATTTTGATGTTTCCAATTGTATAAGTCGCTGGTTGAAAAAGGGATATAGACATAATGACCCTCCTCTGTTTCCCGAAGAGGCAAAAGAGGATACAGAACCAGCCCCTTCAGTGGGAGCCCCGCTGGGACCATAAGCAACCCCTGTTCCTGTGTGGGAGGGGGAGGTCACAGAATCCAGAGATTTTTCCTCTTCAGGAAGAGGAGAGTAGAAAGGGTTTCAAGATCTGGGGCCAGCTTTATCAGAGGAGGAGGAAGGCTCCACATAAGGTGGAGGTTTTATAAAGGGGTCTAAGGGATCAGGATCTTGTGAGAGCACTGGCTTGGGAGCCTGGGCTTTGACCTCTCAGGGTTCCCTTGGGGCCATAACCAAAATGCAAGAGTTTGTTTGCAAGGAACAGTGCTGCAACCAAGCCGGAGCCTCTTGACAAGCCTGAACCCAGATATTTATATATGGAAACTGATCAGGATGGCTAGAGTTCCTGGTGACCCTTTTCCATACTGCCCGGCAGAGGCTTGGGTCAAAAGAGCCCTCAGCTGGCCATCCAACTCCAAAGGCCAGCCATTCCAATTGACACAGGTAGGGAAGTTTTCCATGAGAAAATTTAACCCCATATTCGTCCTCCTGCTCAGGGGAAAAAGCCAATTTAAAATTAGTGAGAAAACAGTTCAACTGGGTAGTCTTGGAGCAGGATCCTCCCATCTCTGTCCTTGATGGTTTGGAAAAAAATTCAAAATTAAACACACAATGGATAGGACACTAACATATGAATGACAAGACGAACAGGCACCACAACAAAAGTGAAACTAAATCTGCCCTTGTTCCTCATCAGGAACCTTGGGGTCAGGGGAGGCTTACCGTCTTGTCAGCCACCTCACTCCTGACTTAACAAATGTTTGCAACCAGCCAAAATGTTACATCCGGAGGTTTTCTGAGGTCTGTGCCTGAGATTCTCCTGCTGGATCCCACCTCAGAGTCTCTGCTGAACCAGGGTTCCTTACCCGAGGATCTCACTGGGGCCTCCAAAATGTAAGACCAAAGGCCTTACCAAAAGCTCCAAGGAGCTGACTGCAGCGAAGAACACCTAGGAAGGAACACACTGGACAAGTTGGAAAGTAAAACAGACCTTGGCCTGGTCAGACGGCACTCCCAAAGCAAAGTAGCTTAGAGAGGCCACTAGCCCAGAGTCCGAGGCTCTTTTTATAGGGGGTTGCAGGGGAAGTTAACAGGCAAAATTTACAGAAGAGGAACAAAGGTTAGTGGTCAGCTGCCACATACTGATGGTCAGCAGATGTTTGTAGATTGTTCTACAGATAGCGGTGTTCTGAACATCAGTTTTGAACAAAGAGTTGAGTAACTTACTTTGGGACCTTATGGCTGATACAGATCTTATCTAGTGTCCTGGAACTAACAAGCATCTTTATCTATGTACTCACATTCACAGTTGGGGGTAGGGGAGTTTTATGATTACAGAGTTATGCAGTCCCACACTTGGTCATTTCCAAACACCAAACAGTGAATCTTCTGGTGTGACCCATTTGCATCACCCCAAAAGGCATCTGAGAAAATACCCTGTTCATAGAGGCTTGGGATGAAATCCACACCGGAGGAGGAGGAGGAGGCTCCTGGGGACCTGGTAGAAGTGATGAGAGTGATATAATGGTGCCTGGAGGTACACAAACTCATCTTGAAACATTTTCCAACTGATTTTTTCACAGGGACACCAGACCTCAGATGCAGAGCTTCAGGGGAAAATGTTGGAAATTTCTTCAATGACACAGAGGAGGCTTGGATAAAAGAAGTCTGGATTATTTAAGTATCTACCCTTTGTAAAATGATAAACCTCATTCACACTCATTCATATGTATATGCCTATCTACCTGCATAAATATAAACAGAGGAGACCCATTCTCCTAGCTGACACTGCAGATCCCATCTCCCTTTAGAATTAAGCATCTGGAGATACTTATAAGATGCCCTTTTTGAGTATTCTCTTATTTTTCTTGCAGCTTCCTCTCATAATGTGCAACTTGCCTGAGGATGGCTGTCTTCAAAGCAGGAGCACCAGTTTGTACAAGGATGGAGATGTGTTGATCGGGGGTTTCTTCTCCTTGTACACTTGTTTTTACTTCACTGGTATGTCTCATATAAAACCCAGCAAGGACTTCATTATCATAGAGTAAGTATCTTTTATTTTATGTATTTTTTACTTAATAATCAGGATCAGAAATGCCTGGGGTTTCTGAGTGGACAGATCAATACTCTCTGTATCCCTATCCTGTTGTTTCTGTGGTCACTTGCTCAGAACTGTTCATAATTTATTTTTTAATCCTGTTCCATTTTTCAGTGTGTGAAAACAGGAGAAGATAATTTCTTCATATTTTAGCCTCTCTTTCTACAAGATTAGATTTCAATGGATACACCGTCCTTCACCTTGTTACTGTATTATATACACATTTCATTATGCCCAACTTGCCACTGAATGGCATTAACAGGTCTCTATTATACACTCAGTCCAAGTCCTGGATTGGACTAAATACTATAAAACTGAAGTAAATATTCATTTCCTAAAGACTAGGGTCTAATATTTCTCCACTGCATAAAATGTCTTATATCCCCACTGCTATTTATGCCCTACCTGCTTGGAGATTCTTACTGTAGATATTCAGTTACACTTTAAAATACTTTGAATGCTGTGGTTTCATTTCAGTGACTCTCTTTGACTGGATTTGCCAGTCAAAGACTCAGGCCAGAAATAAGGGACAATATTCTGTGAAATTCCATCATGTAATATGATTCTTCTTTGCGTTCCTTTTCCTCATTTTCAGATATGCCCACATCAGTTCTGTACATAACCTTATTATTAATAAATACAATTTGCATGGAGTCAGAGGATTTTAGGAGATGACGTGTTCATTGCAACAGGATTTGTCACCAACATAATATTTGTTTATGTCTTTTGTTAGATAGTAGAGCTAGAATTGTTGTCTTGACTAGTTGTGCAGCTTGGAAGGACAGCAGGATTAAAAATTAGGGCACCTTCTGACCCCAGGAGGTGTTTATACCTATTTCATTAAGATGTTTACTCATATTTTTGTTCTCAGGTAATTTTAAGATGTTTATACATTTTTGAGACAAAGTTTTATTATGTTGCTAGTGTTGGCCAAAACTTTTATACTCAAGAAATCTGGCTTTAGCCTCCCAGTTAGCTGTAAATAAAATCATGTGTCATTACACCTAGCATTTCTTCAAATAATTGTTAAAACTATGTTTGATGTTCTTAGTCAGTTTCTTTAAGGTAAAAATTTTGATTCTGATGGTTGCTGTTTATTGTTTCCAGTAGCTAGTAACAGGTTTGGAAAATTATTAGGTAAATGATTCAAAGAAGTGTGATATGTATCTCCTGCAATCTTTTTAAGTAAAAATTACTAAGGGCACTTACTGAAACAACTAAGAAAGCTTTTATCTAATCAGGGAAGAATCATCAGTATATTGACCACTGCAGTGAATTGCAGAAGAGTTGAGAGAGATCCCAAATACTGCATGTGCTAATGAGAGTCTACAGCCAAAGTGAAGCATAGAGGTGAGGATGGGAAATTACTCAGAGACAACATTAAAGGTCATGAGGACCAGGCTAAACCAAACTGAAAGGATTCTAGAGGAAATAACTCCACTGTGAATGGACATAATCTAAGTACAGTAAGTGAGGGGGAACTGGTCAGATACCAAGTGAGATCAAATTTAAAGAATATTTGAAAGGTGCTGGGGAAAAAGTTTGTTTCTTTTCCTGAGGGAGGAGAGGATGACTGCTCCTTCTCTTTCCTTCTTCTGTCCATGTTCACCTGATCACTGTGGCAGTCAGTCTTTTCCCTGACCATGTACTGTATACAGTGTCTGTGTCTGAAAATAACAGCCTTTCAATTCTGGGAGCTTTTAATGGCCAGGACACCTTATGCTTTAAGTAAAAATCTTGAAGTGCCCATGAAAATGCTTTAAGATTTCCTAAAGTCAAAATGAAAAGGAAGAGAAGTTTTGGAAA